TCTTTCCCCTTCTATAGTGGGCCCACTTCATTGAATAGAATGAAGCTTACTCAAGTAACTCCTATCTTGCTTTGGCAGTGAACTCTTATGTGCACCCACAAGCCCCCCACCTCTACCCTGGCCCATCACCAATGTACCCCATCCCCACCCAGGACTCAGCAGCATACAATCGCCCAGGTAAGAGCTGGGAAGCTTGTTTCTCCAACAACCCAACCCTCTCTGCCCTGATGAGCTGTTTTGCTTTCCTCTGGCTCTGAGCCTGCATTCTCTTCCCTTTTGCTTACCCCTGCTGGGAGTAGGTAAGCCTTCATGATCCCTAAGGCTGGAGGGTGGGCCCATTTGTGAGGGAGGCATATGTCATGGGAGACCAAAGAAGATTGCTTTACTTTAAGCAAAACTTGTGCCTATGATCATTAAAGGAAGTAAAAGCAGGGATGCCTGGGTGGCTCAGACAGTTGAGGTCTGCCTTCAGCTCAGGTCATGATCTCGGGGTCCTGAGTTTGAGCCCCAAGTCGGGCTCCCTGCTCGGTGGGGAGCCTACTTTTTCCTCTCTCTCTCTGCCCCTCTCCCAGCTCGTGCTCTCTCTCTCTCTCTCATTTGGATAAATAAAATCTTAAAAAAAAAAGGAAGTAAAAGCATGTATGCAGACCCAAGATATAGAACATTTATGTCCAGCTTTGGAATCTAGATGGAAGACATGCTTAGGCAGATACAATGAACATGTCATCCAGACATACCTGCTTTGTGCCCATGTCTGCTTTCCTGTCAGCTGACTCCTCGTATCAGGGATCTGGGATTGAACTACCTCTGATGGGGGGCAGGGAGGGTTGGAAGGAGACCCTAACTTGCCATAAAGAGTATAAATTGAGCAGATCATTCCCTTTTAAATACATTTTGGAAAATCACTATTATTATCCTGCCTAACCACAAGTGTTTTCAATTTTTCGGGTGACATTAGACTCTCGGCTCATGCATTCCTTATACATTAATATGTTTACAAATTCCTGTACTGTGACTTTATATAATAGTACATTCTATATGGGTTTTTTTCATTATTACATGATCTTCATAAGTATAATTCTTACTGGTTGCATAGTATTAAATTGCCATGTGACCTATGTTTGCTCTGGTTTATTTCCACCACTGAAGTGGTGGCTAGCAGCAAAAATAACTCTGGGCTGATAAGGACTATAGTTTCACCAGCCCTTCCTCATGGGGCTGAGCATTGCCAAATAAGGGTACCAGCCCCTTATTTGGGGCTGAGCATTGCCAATCTAGATGGATAGAATAATTCTCCTTTTAATTTCTTTTTCTCTTCCCAACAGCACACCACATGGTCCCTCGGCCACCAGTTCCACCTCCTGGCGCCAATGAGGAGATCCCTGATGACTTCGACTGGGACTTGATCACTTAGGGCATCATGGAAAGTGGCCATGAGCCCAGGGCTGGGCAGCAAAGTCTGGCAGTGGGGCAAGAGCGGTCCCAGCCCATCCCTTCCTCCTTGCTGTATATAGTTATATATCCTCTTTTTTTCTTGCTCTGTCAGAGAAGCCACCGCAAGATGCTGCCGAAGATAACCCCCTCTTTCCTGCCTCCTTCTTCCTCTTCCTTCTTGTGTTTTTCCTAATTCTTTTATTATTATTCTTATTATGGTATTATTATTATTATTATTATTGTTATTATTATTATTGGTTATATGCTATCCCCAGTCTCCTGTCCCTCCCCCACAGACCGTGTTCACCCCTTGCTAATTTAAAATCTGGCTGGAAGGTGAGGCCTTGATGGCCACAGAGAAAGGTTTCAAACCTTGATTGACCTTTCTCTTTGAGAAGCTCAATGCTGATCTCACCTTTTGGACCTAAATTGTTTTCTGTTCCTGTCAGTTCAGTCCAGTACTAGAGAAGCCACATTCTCAAGTAAAAGGGATCTAAAACACTGCTTCATAGCCATGAATTTGCAGGTTCTACTCAATGGTGCTAATTTTGTCCTCTGAGCTCTTTTTTTGTCCCTTTAGATCTTCAATCCTTACCTCTGCCAATCCTCACTCCCATCTAGGGTAAGAGTGATGGTGGTAGTGCAGGAGGGTGATAATAAAATCCCAGTGGAATAAGAAGTCTGGGTTGGGTGGAGTCAAGTGCTGTAGAGGGGTGATGGAATATAAAACGGTCAGTTTCTATATGTTATTGGAAACTTCCATTGGCTTATTCCTACCCCTTAGTCTATTGGAGATAGATTGGTTTTAGCCAGAACTCTGCTTCTGTGGTAGGATTGAGGACAATAATAAAGCAGAGGTTCAGCTTTTAGGAGATAGTTTCAATTTAACCCTTTTGAATGTTTAAACATAATTTTGTCTGGAAATTAAATGTGGCTCATATTTGCACTTACAAATTATCCTTCAATCCCCTTTTCTCATTTGGCAAATAGTATTTTGTCTTCCTTCAGTTGTTTGCTCAGCTCTTCCTTCCCTTTTATTTTCTTCTGCCATTTTCTAGAACTCTCAAGAAAGAAAAGCAAGCCATTAACACTCTTAGTTTCATCATATCCTAGGGCAAGATGGGAACCTCTTTCCCACTGATCGTAGCAGAACCAAACCTATGGCTATGGTGTCGGTGGTAGGAAGGTGAGGAGAGAGAGAGAAGGAGTTGGTATACACATGGGCAGGGAGTATTTCAGTTATTTAGCTGTGTAGGCAAATGCTTCTCTTGAAATCCAGATCATTGGGGCTGAAGCTTTTGCCATTAGGCTTCTGAGTAAAGGAAATTGGTAGAGGGGAGTAAATAATTTAGAGAGGAGAGTTTATGAGGGCCAAGGGAGACCCCTCCCAGAAAAAGGTAAGGAACAAACTTCTCTCCTTTAATGAGGAGTGGCCATGAGTTACTCCTGCAAAGCACTTAGTGTATGTTTAATGTTAACTGTTGAATATTAGCTGCAAGAGGGAAGAGCAATTTTACTTCTGTTTTTATTTCATTGAATGTTTGCTTTCTGAAAACTACAGAATGACATGTAAGGAATGGACAAGGCCACTATCTCTCTTATTTCTGCTTTTTGTTCATATTCTTTTATTTACCCATGACTTCCAGGAGATCTGGCTTTCCACTCTTCTGCTTTTCCCCTCACCCACCCCTTCCTTTCTTTTTAAGGGGGTTATATGCAAGAGTTTGTTGAAGAAGCCTGAAGCAGAGGGGCAGGAAAGGGCGGTTAACTAAAGAGCACTTTATTTCTGTGAAGTTCTTTGTAAGATATGAGGGTGTGAGTGGCTTGAATCCCCCGCTGTTGGGCTATCAGTGGGGTTGAAGTATCACATGATATTTCCCATTGAGGAAAGGAGAATCTCTCTTAGAGGGTGGCAAAATGCCTTTGCCCTGTGTCTGTTCTAGGCATCTTTTCTTTATTCCTTCTAGTCAAGGTGCCTCCTAGAAACAACTTCCCGTCTGTCTTCCCCAAGACTCTCTTTACAGAGGATCACTTCTCTTTTCTCAACCCCTGTTCTACTCAGATCTGCACAGGATTTGCAAGGGTAGACAAAATTGTACATGTAAATGTCCCTTGTTTACGATTTCAACTGTGTCTTCTGAAAACTAGTCTCATTAGGACTCTGGTGGGCTGCCGGAGTAATTGAAGTTTGGGGCTAGGGCTGGAGATGGGCCATCAGGCCTCCTGGGATCTTAGCTTCCTTCCATTTCAACTCAGCCTGGCTAAATGGCACAGGACAAAGCTGACTCTCTTTGGGCCTCCATTTTCCCTCCCCTCCATGAAATGGAAACAATACTCCTTTTTCTTGTTGGTCCAGCATGGCTGGGCTCGAAGTATAGTCGTTGTTGTATTGGGTGATGTGTGCAAAACTGCAGGACCTCACTGCCTATAAGAGGACATAAGGGAGAAATGGGAGGAGAGGGACAGGAAGAGCAATTATTTGGTATAGATATACTCATCCTTGCTTTCTTCTCTTCAACCCCCATGTTTCTGGTTTGGTGAGTCCCTTGTACCACCCATAATGCTTTGCATTGGTGCAGGCTGGCAAGGGGGTGTGTGATCTCACAAGTTGTTGTTGTTGTGTTTTGCATGCTTTCTTAATAAAAAAAGAAAAGGAAGAAGAATGTTTACATGGTTTTATCTTACTGGTGCTGGTCTCAAATTTCTTTTTGCCAGGGTAGGAAGGGAGAAGAGTGGAATCATATGTTTTCAACTGGCCTTGGACTCCTTCCCTACCTCCTACTCTCACATTCAATTAGTTGATCTTGAAATTGTTTTTTTTTTAAGGTTTTATTTATTTATCCATGAGAGATACAGGGTGAGAGGCAGAGACAGAGGGAGAAGCAGGCTCCCCATAGGGAGCCCCATGTGGGACTCAATCTCGCGACTGGGATCACATGCTGAGCCAAAGGCAGACACTCAACCACTGAGCTGTCCCTTGAAATTGTTTTGTAAGATTGATGGGAAAGGAGAATTAAAAGACATGCTTTTAACATTGATTTTTCTTTCAAATGCTATTAAATGTGGTGAAATATTGTTGGGAGAGACAGTCACTGCTTGTAGCTTGGTGTGTGGACTAAGCCACTTTGCTTGTGTTCTGGGATATTTCAAAGTTTAGAGATACTACAATTTCAGGAGGAGTTAGGTCTCTGTCTGGGATTTCCTGTGAAAACTCACAGGTACTTACCAGAATTTTTCATAAGAAAAGAGGGAATTCCAATTGTAGGATTTTTTTCAGAATACATTTCCCAGGAATGGAACTCTCAAAAGGAATCCAGGAATGGAACTACTGAATTTTTACAACTATGCCATTCACCCAAATATCCTGTACACTAAATACAGGAGTCTGCAACTTACACCCAGGGTCTTGTGAGATATGTTGGGACTTTCAGGAGTCTAGCTAGTTGCTATTATAGCAAGCCTCCAGCTACCCACTATGAGATTTATTTGCTGTATATTTAGAGATTACGATATATTCCGAATGTCAAACAATTAAGAGGATCCACGAATCTCAGTCTTGCAAGAAACCACAAGAGAGAAAGCATTTATTCATATCAAATATATAAGCAGGTTACATTGGAAGGTGGCATTGCAATCTTACATCATGTCAGACATTATTACCTCACAATTGAAGACTTCCCAGTTATTTGCAATTTTTCTGCATAGTACTTTATAAATTATTTGTAATCTAGATCCTCACCTCAATCACTGAACAAATAGTGCCTTGCAAGTCTAAAACATCTCATTTTCTTTTTTTTTAGATTAAATAATTATATTCCACTTTTTGTGATAATTCCACTTTGGTGATAATAATATATTCCACTTTGGTTTATTTGTGGTACAAATAAACTTGAAATTTTAGAAGTTTGGGCAGCCTGGGTGGCTTAGTGGTTTAGCGCTGCCTTCAGCCCAGGTTGTGATCCTGGAGACCCAGGATCGAGTCCCACGTCAGGCTCCCTGCATGGAGCCTGCTTCTCCCTCTGCCTGTGTCTCTGCCTCTCTCTCTCTCTCGCTCTGTGTTTTCCATGAGTGAAGAAAATAAAATCTTAAAAATTTTTTTAGAAGTTTAACACAGTAAAGTTTATATACACAGACAAATGAGAAGGTGATAGAGTTAAATAATACTTTTCTAAAAATGAAAAAGGATTGAAGGAAAGCCATATGTATCGTTGGAATGGATCCACAGATAGAAGAAAATGTTTGGTCTTGAACAAATTGAAGTATGATGATTAACGAACATTAGGATGATGGATAAGCAAAAAATATGAATGTGGATAAAATTCATCTTTCAAGACAAGAAGTGATTTTATGTATATAAAAACTAGCTGCATAAGCACATGACATCATGGTAAATATCAGAAGAAATGTCTAAAATTGTTGCAAGTGTTATTTCTGTGAGATGGGAGTGGGAGGAGGGTTTGGTTGGGCAGAGGGGCAGCTAACCTTATATTTCATCATAAGCTTTGAGTTTCTTTTCAAACTATGCTCATGTATTACTTTGGGAAAGATAAATTTTAAAAACCCAAAGATATACCTGGTGAATGATAAACACCTGTAGCCATGCTTCACAAAGTTTGTTGATATTCCTGGAGGGCCCTCAGTCATTACGCAGTGAATTCAAGGATTGCTGCTCCATCCTGCACCCTCTTTCTCTTTTCATTTGAAATGAATTCCTTAGGAAATATTAGTTTCAAGCAAGAGGAGGGGAGCAATTTGAACCTTATGATATCAGAGATTATTAGATGCAAAAAATCTAATATGGAAGAAGATCTAGAGGCAAGTGAGGAATAAAGGAACTTAAGAAAGGGAATGGAAGAGAGATGGTTCTATCAATAGGCAGATTGAGGAAACAAATAGAAAACTCTCCAAAATACCGCTTACATCCAATTTTATGAGGAAATTTTCAGATGCCTTAGCAGCCTGTCTTCACACAGTAGATGCTTATTTAGTTGTAATAATAGAAACTTGGAATTCCCAAGTCTTGTATTCAGGAGTATTGCACATAGCAAGCATCTGATATTGTACTCTGTTCCAGACTCAGTCTCATAACTGCTTGTTTTCATAGACTTTCTCTTTTTTGCACCTTCTTTTCATTTAAAAAACATTAATTAAAAAACACCACAACAAAGCCATGAAGAAATGGTCATCTTTCACTCAGGTGAGACTAGGTGAAACAGATTTAAGTTGAATCTGGGAGGGGATTTAGACAATTACAAACAAAAAAATTTCATGATGGAAAAATCATTTTAAAACAGACTAGGTTCTTATTGATCTCACTGGCTTAGTTTGGGATAGAAATAAGCGAATTTTTACAATGATTCGCAAATTTAGCATTCATTAGAAACAGGAGAGTTTGTTAAAGCACTTGCTGGACCCCATCTCCAGAGATTCTGATTCATTAAGTTTCTAGGTGATTCTAACAAGTTAGTGGGTGATGCTGATGCTACTAGTCTGGGATCATACTTTGAGAACCTATGGATTGATTCTTTGATGGTTTCTGAAATCCCCAGCTTATGATATCTCATTGTTTTAGACACATGTTAACCTGGGTGAATACCTAAGAACTTCTGCTTGGGTCAACTCCTCCATATTTTCACACAGTTGTACTGATACTATTTCTTTCTGGAAAGACTTTGCTTTGGGGACAGCTGGTAGAGTGTGTGAGGTCTTCACTGAAAGCTGCCTCCAGAATGCCCTTCATGGACTGTTTTGCTTTCTTCCTGAAATCTTTTCCTAGAAGGGCATAGAGGAAGGGATTAAAGCAACTATTGGCAGATGCTAGAGCGATGGACACAGGGTCCCAAGACAGTAAAGCTTCTCCAAAGGCAGTTCCTGGGTCAACAAACAATGATAGGACTCCAACAATGTGGTAGGGAGCCCAGCAGATACAGAAGACAATCACCACAGCCACGGCCACTCGCAAGGCTTTGACTCGAGTCTTGGTGAAGCGGCCCCGTCTCATTCGGAAGATAATGAGGCCATAACAGGTCACCATGAGAATAAAGGGCAGAAGGAAACCCACCACTAGTCTAGTGATGGTTATTGCCATCAGTATTGTTAGTCCTTGATTGTCATATGAAAATTGGCCTAAATAATCATCCTGGAAATCTTGGGATAACTCATACAAGTATAAGGAATTATTGGAAGTACCAGAGTAAAGCTTTAAATCAGTAGAGAGAAAAGCATCAGAGTTATCTAGTGGGTTAGTTCTGTGATCTTCAATGAGAAAGCCACTGGGGATTGTAGATGAGACCTCATCAGTAGGTTTAAATAAATTATAATATGGATGTTGACTAGATGGTTTAGTTGAATCCATAAGGAGTGACTCTCGAGAAGGTCTTTGAAATGTTTGAGAAGGGAGGATAGTGGTGGCTGTCCAAGGAAGATCATTTATTTGCAAAGAGAAAGACTCTAACCTATCATCCATTTCTCCAGGCAGCTGAACAATGGAGTTGTCAAGAGACCCATTATCCAGGAGATCAATGGTGAAGTCTGAATAATCAAATGAGCTGTAGAGATCAAAATTGTAGCCACATCTGTCATGGTTGTTTACAGTGAATGTTTCTCGGTATATGAACACAGGTATACACATTGCAAAAGCTACCACCCATATACATCCACAGATAGTGGAGGCTGTCCCCACATTGCGGTGATTCTGACACCAGATTGGTTTGAGGACCAGAAGACAACGATCCAGGCTAATGGCAGTCAGCAGGAAGACGCTGGCAAACATGTTGAGGATGATGATGGAGGGGATGAGCTTGCAAAGGAGCCAGCCATAGGGCCAGCGTCCTTGGAGAACAAGGTGAGTCAGGGAGAAGGGCAAGGAGAGGCAGCAGAGGAAGTCCGCCAGGGTGAGATGAAGAAACCAGACTGTGTTCACTGTCCGCTGCATCTTTAGGCCAGTCACCCATAGCACTAGCCCGTTGCCCGGCAATCCCAATAAGAAAGTGAGGCTGAGAATGACTATGGAGAGAATGGCTTGGGGTTCATACCACTGATGTGAGGGTAGGTCCGTTGAATTGTTATCAGCAGAGAAAGCCTCCATTGCTAAACTTCTATAAAAATATAAACAAAATTAAAAAATATATATAAACAAAAATTTTTTAAATTAAAAATTAGAAAATATTAAAACTATCTTTTTCTTTTAAAGCATGTCCTTAGAATTATAACCCTCTCACATAATGATGTAGAACCACAAAAGTCCTCACACTGTTGTAGTTTGTATTCCTTGGCTTCACACTGGACCACAAAAACATTCTGTGATCATTAAAATCTACCATATCAATATAAATGTGTATCAAGGGGCACCTGGGTGACTCGGGATTGAGCATCTGCCTTTGGCTCCAGTGGTGATCCCAGAGTCTTGGGATCAAGTCCTGCATTGGGCTCCCCTTGGGGAGCTTGCTTCTCCCTCTGTCTATGTCTTTGCCTCTCTCTCTGTGTCTCTCATGAATAAATAGAATCTTTTAAAAATTTGTATTGAAATCATAATTTCATTCGGAAGTCCCTATTAATGTCCATTTCTTGTCTTGCACTTCCAATTTCTCATTCTGCACTGGTTCCTTTCCTCATTCTGTGGTCCCTATTGAAAACAAATCAGCTAAATGGACGAACAATAACTTTTAGACCAGAGGTTCCCAACATTAGATCCATGAAAGGGCTTGTGAAGCACCATCACCACCTCAAGAGGCATGTAGGATTTTAAGCTTTACATATTCTCATTTCTATGAGGACAGAAGATCCATCCATTCCCTCTACTAGATTTTCAAAGGACTCACTACCACAAAAAAAGGTAGATTCAGTTATATCTTTGGATACAACCTCATCTTTTCCTTTTGCTTTCAAATTTTTCAAGCACTGTTCACTCTCTCTGCACTGATTCCCTTATCGCCTGTCATTTCTTTCTTGTATTTAAAATGTTATTCACATTTTAAAATATATGCATATTTTTCTTAATCAAAATTTAACAAAATTAGATTATTCTGTGCATATTTAAAAATTCTTTAAATATGGTAAAATACACATAACACAAAATTTACCTATTTTTTATTTAAAAAAATTTTTAAAAGACTTTATTCATTTGACAGAGAGAGAGAGAACATACGTAGGCAGAGCAGCAGGCAGAGGCAGAGGGAGAAGCAGAGTCCCCACTGAGCAGAGCTGGACACAGGACTCCATCCAAGGACCCCAGGATCATGACCTGAGCAGAAGGCAGGTGCTTAACCAACTGAGCCACCCAGTCGCCCCTGTAACCATCTTTTAAGTATAAAGTTCAGCAGTGTTAAGTATATTCATATTATCATGCAATTAATCTCCACAACTTTTTCACCTTGTAAAACTGAAACTCTAATTCTATTAGACAACAGCTCCCCACTTCTTTCTCTCCCCAGTTCCTGCAAACCACCATGCTACTTTCTGTTACCATGTATTTGGCTACTTGAGACAACTCATATAAATGGAATCATACAGCATCTGTCTTCTGGTGTCTGGCTTGTCTCACTCAGCATAATGTTCTCAAGGCTCATCCATGTTGTAGCAGATGTCAGAATTTCTTTCCTTTTTAAGGTTAAATAATATTTCATTGTATGTAAACACCACATCTTGTTTATCCATTCATTTCCAGATGGACATCTGAATTGCTTTCACCTTTTACCTCTTGTGAATCATGCTGCTCTGAACTCGCACGCATCTTGTTTTACAAACCGCTTTCCCTTTTCAGTGAGTCTCTCCATTATGCAGTAAGATTGTACTTTAAGGAATATTCAGTCTTTATCTAGTTTTTTTTTCCTCCCAACTGTCCCCAAAGTATTTTCTATCTCTGATTTGTCCACAGTTACAGCTAATCTAGGATCACACTTTGTATTGGGATGTTATGTTTCTTAAGTCGCTCTCTCTCTTTTTTTAAAGCATAGTTTCTCTTTTTTTAGCTAGTTTCAGGGTCTGCTTTTTTATCCCTTGTTAATCATAATTTTTTCAATCCTTTGTAATTTGTCTTCTGCCCCATCCCTGGGCTAGAATTATCTCTAAATGACAAATTCAAACGTCTTTTTTTTTTTTTTTTTGTCTTCATCCACCACATCATTCTCTTGGCCTCGGTGACATTACCTTTCCAATTCTGAAAACTCATGTAAATGTACCCTACCTTATAGCTTTCTTGAACAACTCACTATTCTGGCTAATATTATTTACTTCTGTCTGGAATTATGTCCTTCAACTTCACCTCCCCTCTCCTGCATCCTTAATCTCTACCTGTTGAAATTCTAGCCATTTTTCAGAACAAGCTCAAATATTATTCTTCCTCGAAACCTCCTTTTAGAGTCTCAATCAGAAATTGGTTCTTAAGCCTCTTGAATTTGTGTGTGTATATGCTGAACTTCTCCTTTCATATTTTCTGTGCAATGATGCATTTTATCTTGTATTATAATTATTATCATGGTTGTCTTATCTCTTTTTCTGGCCCTAAATTTCATGATGGTAAAAATGAGTCTTGTACTTAAGTGCTTGCTCTACAGAAGTTATAGCACAATGCCTTGTATGACATAAAGATCAAAGATTACTTCAGGGGATGGATGTTCGTTTTAGGAGTTTACTTTTTTTCTTTTTCAGCTAAATTTAAAATTCTTATTCTTATCCATTTCATCCATTAAAGATGTTGTCTCTTCTAACTTCCCTTTTGTTTTCCAGTTTCCGGTTCTTACTGGCTCTAATAGCATTTTATGTTTCCTTTCATAGAGTCCCAAAATATTTTTGTGACTTGGAATTAGTTCTGCTGAGCTAATCAAATGTTGTCATGTGTCTTCTGTGATTAACAGAAGTCAAAATAACTGAGTCAACAAAATAATAAAAAAGAAGAAGTGGTTCTCATTCCCCTCTCTATAGCCTTACTCAAATATTCAAGTCCTATCAGGATTCTTTCTTTCCTTGTTGCGCATGCCCGTTATTCTGATTCACTGTCTTACAGAAATACACATATTCATGTGGAGATCCATAAAATGCTGATAGAAGGATAGAATCAGAGAATGCTAAGGCTGAAAGGAAACATAGTAATAATCCTTTCTTGTCTCTAGTTTTATTGGCAGTTTTTGACATGGAAACTCAGCAGATTAGGGGACTTTCACATATTAGGAGGTTCTAAAATCTTAAATCCAGTGTCTGTCATGCCAATACCCTTTCTACTACAAAGAACCACAGAACTAAAAAGGCTTTGGTATTGTTTACAAAGGGAAAGTTACAAAGAACTGAACAAACTGAAGTAACAGAGATTAAAAAGAGGGGTGCCCAGGTGGCTCCGGTGGTTAAGCGACTACTCTTGATTTTGGCTCAGGTCATGATCTCAGGGTCATGGGATCAAGCCTCAAGTTGAACTCTGCTCTGCACAAAGTCTGCTGCAGAGTGTCTCCCTCACCCTGTGCCCTTCTTGCCCCTTGCACTCTCTCCCTCTAAAATAAAATAAATAAATAAATAAATAAATAAATAAATAAATAAATAAATAAATGTTTAAAAAAGACTGAAAAGAGCAAAATTCCAATGCAAATAGAGTCCTTGATATGAGCTATATTTTAAATATCACATATTATCTGTCTTGAAATCAAAGTATGTTTGAATCAATCTTAAAAGTCAGATGAACAAGATCGCTTTTTACACTTTTCCAAGTGTTTTGGTTGCATGATACCTCTACATTTAAGATCGGTAGAATTTTTTCTCATTCTTTTTTTCCCCTCTTTTTTAGTTTTTAACACTAAATTGGCCAAAAGTAATTAAAAGGATAAAGAAAATCCTGAAGTTAAAATTCAAGAAGATAAGAAAAGAAAGTAGATTCCAGAATCAAATACTAACAATAGGGTGACAGAATCAGTAACAATAAAGAATAAGCAAAAGAATAAAAGAAAAAAAAAGGAAATGGAATGAGGAAAAAAATATAAAACAGCAACTGATTTGAAAAACAAAACGATCGCAGAAAGCTGGAATCAAAGTCCAGAAAGAGAAACATAGCCAATTTAAGAGAGGAAAAAAAAATGTCATGAAAAATCACTCTTAGTTCTAGAGTGAATATATTAGAACAAAGATAAATAGAGTGTGGGATATTTAGAAGAAAAGTGAATGTGGGGATAAAACAAAAGAAATGAAATTTAGAGAAGGAATGGGGGGAAGAGAAGATAGACTCTCAAACCATTATCAGTAATAAGCAAAAGGAGCACAAGTTATCAAGTGGATCTAGGCTTTCTTACCAAAAACCTGACAGTAGCTGAAGGCCTCAGCACTGATCTGGAGGTCCCCACAAATCCTGTGTGGTCCTCACACTTACCCACAATCAAGTTATGAAGTACGTTTAGGAAATTGGCTGAGCTGTTCCTCTTCCCTCTCTTCGTTTTGATCATGTTAGATGCAACTCACACTTTTGACTACTTATCTGACTTCACAGGATGAGTTTCGAAGTGAGTCACTTCTGAATGTCTCAGATAAGAAAAGTAAAAAAGCGGAAGTGGGAGGACATTATTCTTGGAAGCTTTCTGCAGAACACAGAATATGGCTAAAGAGAAAATACTTCTATACTGGTGCATCTTGCTTTATAGGCTTTTGCTTGTGTTCTAGAAATGCACACAAATGATGCTATGGTATGTGAGGGTGGAGGTGCTGAGTGGTTGGGATGTATGACCTGCACCACCTCATGTAGTGAATCTCAAATAGCATCTCTTAAATGCTTACTATGTGTAAAGAAACATGCCATACCAAAATCAGATTAATTAAGCTATGTTCTAATATTGAGAGATTCACAGTCTAGGAGGGATATGTACCCATATCCCATCCCCTCCAAAATCTATAATACAGCTCAGACTTTAGTGGCACAAGTACTAATAGAAGTGAAATAGTAAAACATAACAGGGAAGGGTACATTTGGCTTGGGGCAATCTAGGAAAGTCTGAAGGTGGAAGTAAGATCTGGACAGATCCTTAAAGACTTTTTAAAAAAGGATTCTATTTATTTGAGAAAACAGACACACAGAGAGAGCTTGAGCAGGGGGAGGGGCAGAGAAAGAGAAACAGAATCCCCAGCAAACTCTGAGCTGATCTTGGAGCCCCCTCCTTGGGCCTTGATATCATGATTCTGAGATCATGACCTCAGCCAAAACCAAGAGTTGGATACTTAACTGACTGAGCCACCCAGGCACCTTGGGCTGGTCTTTAATAAAGACTTCTATAGACAGAAGAAGCTGACATGCAGTTTAGAGTGTTTGTGTGGAGCAAAATCAGAGGCAGGTGGGTGGGAGGATGCTTCAGGTACTGGGTTTGGGGAGAATAGTCAATTAGATTGTTTCATCAGGAAGGAGTACAGAAGATTGGAGAGGGACCTTGAGCAGTGATTCCTGCTTAAAGTATACACCTCAAAGGATTCTCACTCACACTATTATTTTACACATATGTATATGAAATAATATTCACTCGGGTCAAATGTATTTGAACAGTGTTGCCTGGGGTAAAGGCTTCCATCCATATAAATCAATTATTGTCCAAACAATATCTGCTCCTCCTCTTGTTTTCTTGCAGAAAAATCACTGTGAAATATTTTTAAGTCAGAGAGATCCAAGAAAAATGCCAGGAGTTGAGACTGACTGACTGATTGATTGATGCCCATTGTTATTGAATGACAGGAGCAGTACATATCACAAAAAAGATTAATTGAAATAATACAAAAGTATACAGGGTAAAAGAATGAAAGTTTTTATTTCCAATCCCACTGCCTGGAAGTATCTATTTTTAATAAGTTAGCATTCATTCTTTGTAAATTTGTTCTAAGTATGACACATACCTTTTAAAAAGGTAGTTTCAAACAAAACTGGGATTGTAATTTATATGTGATTTTATGATCTACTTTTCTGCTTAAAAAAATATGTCAGAACAGGGGATTCTTGGGTGGCTCAGAAGTTTAGTGCCTGCCTTCGGCCCAGGGCGTGGTCCTGGAGTCCCAGGATCGAGTCCCGCATAGGGCTCCCTGTGTGGAGCCTGCTCTCCCTCTGCCTGTATCTCTGCCTCTTTCTCTCTCTCTGTGTCTCTCATGAATAAATAAATAAAATCTTTAAAAAACCCCAATATATCAGAACATACTTCCATGTTAGTGTATATAATTCTTTTTTCTTAAGATTTTATTTATTTATTCATGAGAGACACAGAGAGAGAGAGATGCATAGACACAGGCAGAGGGAGAAGCA